CCCGGCATGCTGCTTTTGACGCATATGAGAAGCAAGCCCTTGATCGCTTTAAATTCATGAAGGCAATTAGAGCACCGAAGTGGTTCAGAGTGGGACATTTTGCAGAGTGGCGAGTGGTGAAGTGAGCAGGTACCAAATGCGGGTGAGTGATCGGTTGCTGACACACTACTGACTGCCCCTTAAATTTGTCGCGTCGCGACGATGCTTGGCTTGCCCTTCTCCACTATCTGACCGCCTGTCCCACTTGCATTTACCAACAATATATGCCCTCTCGCCCTCCGAACTCGACAGATGAGGAAGAAGAGCAACCCCTCAAGAACACGGCTAAAACATCACGACTCCACAACGAGGGTATCTCTTCCGGCAATATTGTGAAGGGCAAGCGCAAAGCAAAACCCACGAAAAAGCAAGAATCCAATGGTACGTCTGCAGTATGCTATTTTAATCTCAAGTTCTAGCAGCTAATCTAGTGCGTACTTTAGAGAGGGATGACGGTGAGCGACTGAAGACACAGCTTGAAAAAGCAAAGAAACTACTGCGCAAGTACAAGACGGCAGCAGAGCAAACTGGAGGTAGGGCATTCCTTTGCTAGATCTCAATCTCAGTGAATATCTAAGCTGTTGTTAGGCGATGGATCGGAGGAAGGTGATTCGGATGGATCACTCGAAGAAGAGGAGGAGACGTACAAATCACCAGTGGGTGTTCATAGCTCGTCCTAACTCACTACTAACAACGGGCTGTTTATAGTTCTTCTCCAAAGGGGTTGTCTCTGTCGAACAGCCCAAGCAAAAGCGTCCTGCTCTTCCGAAGCTCAGCGCAGCAACTTCCAAGCCATCCGGCATATCTCCACCTCAAGTTGCCACCACCTCCTCGACCACCGACAAGTCCACCAGAGAACGCTCCATGCAAGAGTATACAACGTCTTCTGCAAGCCAGCAAGAGCTGCGGCCAGAGCCAAGACAGAAAGATCTGCCACAACAGTCCTGTTCTCGTTCCCATTCTCTCTCTCGCTCTCGCTCGCGCCCCCATTCTCGCTCTCGCCCCCGTTCTTCCTCTCACTCGCGCCCCCATTCTCGCTCTCGTTCGCGTCCTCGCTCACGCTCCCATAGACGCCGCTCGCGCAGCCGTGTTTCCAGGCGTGTCTCCAGTTCAAGCTCGCACCCACCATCAGAATCCCAAGCTTCACTTCCTCCACCCTCGCCCTCCCTGCCCGCCACCAGCAGGCTGCCTTCACCAGACCTAGAAGACATTTCATTCAGTCGTCGCCAGACAGAACATCAACGTTCTCGGGACATGCCACGTTATCATGTAAGTTCCTTTTCATCTGCACGTTTCAGCTTCAACCTTACTACTTTCTTTGGAGTTCAGCGACCTTCCAGCTCACGCTCTCGTATCTGGGACGATAGCGGGGTATGGTCAGACCTTGACCCTTTACATGACCAACACGACCGACGCTCCCGTTCCCGCGACCGACTCCATGCGCAGCACTCGCAGCCCCATCAACACTTGTCCCGGTCGACTCAACTTCCTCGTAGCAAATCTCCTGCTCGCAAACGTCGACGATCTCGTTCACCATCACCCGAACCCCAACCGATCCTCTACAGGGATGATAAGATTGCGCCGCCGCCTTCCAATGTCATGCCAAAGGCCAGTGATTACAGCAAGACTATCGAGGAGCTGATCAATCGTGCTGTTCAGAAGCTTACTGTCAAGCTGTACACTGTCGACGCCTTCCCCTCTGATGAGCTGGTCAAGGAGTGGTCGCAGGAGTGCTGGATTGTCACCTGCCGGGCGGCACGAAAGAAGTTTGCACCGCAGGAGGGAAATGCCCGAATCATAATTGCAGTGCGTCACTTGATTTGTCTCTCTTGACCGTCGTGCTTGATCTACTATCCCAGATATCAAAGCGGAAGTCATCGATACATCTCATCTTCGGGACACCGTGCGTGACATGATTCCGTCGACATACGATCTTGCTCCCGATGCCGTCCGCGAGACGTCTGTGGCGAACATGACGA